GGACTGGGATTCAAGCCTTGAGTATAAAGTCTCTAGCACTGCCTAATCCAGATTAACTGAGCGCACATACCGGACTCCTTCATCCCAACAAGACCCTAGGTGGACCTGTTGTGCCTGCGCCTCAAGACCCCCAAGCAAGACCACCACAGAGCCAATATCTGATGCAAAACACAAAGAGGTTTTTTACAAGTTTGGGCTTGGTCTGCATCTGACACACTGGCTACCCAGGTGAAGGAGGATGGCCCTGAGCTCTCAGGGTGAGGGGTTTTTAAAGAGAAAAACAACAAACAGGTGGTAAAAGCCTTGGTGTCATATGATTGGGTGAGAGTGTGTAACCTTTGAATTTACTGGTTGGGGGTTACAGTTATCATTTTTGGGCAGGCCTGGACAAGTCCCAGGCTCTGTCCTTGAGCTGCCATGTGGGACATGGCACAGAGCTGGCTGGCCTTGCACATACCGACTGTGGGGGCTGACTCAGTGGCCCAGGCTCTGTCTTTGAGCTGCCCTGGAGCCTAACTGGCTTCACATGTTCACACTGACCGATGCACGTAGCTCTAAGTTGGTGAAGGGTCCCAGACAATAAACAACCGGCTGAACCTTGAGCAGTCAGAGTACGCGCAGAAAGGGAGCTACTGCAAGGACTATGTCTTTTGTTCTCGGCCCTCCCAGAAACTGCTTGCTCAAGTCTCAGGAAACTGAAATTGAGGCCTGTTCTCTGAGAGAAGACTGAGCAGCCTGCTATGGCGTCTGCTTGGTCCTTTCAGTGAGATGGGGAGAGTCTCCCCCTATCCTCAAGGGTGGGCAATGGTGCACAACACACTGAAAGCAGACACTACCACGGGCTGTCCACATGGCTCTTGAACACTCACCCACTCATACTCACTTTCTTAGTTAGGGTTACTATCGCTGTGAAGAGAAAATATGACCAAGACAACGTATTGTCTTGGTCATTTAAGCATTTAATTGGGGGCTTGCTTACTGCTTCAGAGCACTAGTTAGTGAGCATCGTGTTGGGGAACATGGCAGCAGGCAGGCTCGAAGCGTGTTAGAGCAATACCTGAGAGCTCACCTCTGACCCAAAACTTGCAGGCAGAGCAGAGCAGAGAGAGAGTAAGACTGGGCCTGGCATGGTATTCTGAAACCTCAAAGCTCACCTCAGTGACACACTTCCTCCAACAAAGCCACACCTCCCAATCCTTCCCAAACAGTTCACCAACTGGGAACAATGGGGATTTTTTTTTTGAGTGAGTTTGAATTATTCACAGCAAAGCTGCTTCAAAAGGCAATTACAGTTCTGCTTGAGACAAATAAAAACTTAGCCCTGGGAAAGAAATATTCATATTCAAATGACAAGTGGAAATTTGAGGACCAAGAAGTAAAAGTTAATTTTAAATCCCACTAATTGGCTTTAAGATCAGAATGGAGGGAAGGAAGAATCTGTCAGCTAGAAAGAAGAACAGTGGAAATCAGCAAATTCAAGAAGAAAAGAGACTTAAAAAATTTTAAAAATCTCTTTTCTTGATTTTCCTGAATTATATTTGAGGATTGAAGCAAAAAAATATGTCTGGTATTATCCTAAAAGTATATGGGAAAATGTTTGTAATAATTACATTACAGAGGAAGAGTGTAGGATGTCTATATACCACTGAACCGGGTGAAATGATAGCATCCATAGACTGATAAATAACTGTTAATACCAAAAGCAACCACTGAAAAACTATACAACAGTATACTTGTGAATGCTACACATACATTGAAATGTTGTGTTAGATGTTGAAAAATGGTCAAATAACCTATGAGAAGAAGAAAAAATAAAACATAAGCAAATCATAGCAAACAAAAATTCAGAAAACAGAAAAGAAATAAAACATAAAATGACAGTTATGCCTCAACATTTCAACAGTTACATTAAATGTAAACAGCCTAGACACATTAATTAAAAGAGATTGACAAAGACCTATAATTTAGGAGGCCAATGAGAGCCTGGTATACATGGCATGATCTTGTCTTGAAAATAAATAAACAAATTGGCAGAACAGAATTAAAAACATGACCCAACCATACATCATTGATAAGGAGCTTACTCCAAATTTAACAATAAAGAAAAAGGACAAACTATTGAAAATGGGCTATCATTTAAAGATTTATCCAAATAAGGTAAAAAATTATCATGTTCATGCCAGATGAAGTAGACTTTAAGATGAAGAAAATGATCAGAAACAGAAAGAGAAAGCACACTAAGAAGGTGCATTAAGTCCTAAATGGGTGCATCAAAAATGCAGAGCTGAAAAACATATGAAGCAAAATAATAGAGATAAGAGAGACAAAGAAAAACTCAGAACCACTGTGGAAACTGCATCATCCTCTTTGAACATCTGATAAAAGAAGTAAGATAGAAAACCAGAGAGGAGACTCAGCTCCTTGAACTAATAGGGTTAGTCAGCACTTACAGAACCCTCTAACCACAGCAGAATGTTTGTTTTAGCTAAAATATATCCTGGGTCCCACAGCAGACTTCAAGAAATTTAAAGCAATTGGAACAACAATACATAATGAATTCTCTGTCCATGGTGGCATCACAGTGGAAATTAATACGGAAGAGAACTAATACAGACCTCCAAATATTCGGAAACTAAATCCATCTGGGAAACAGCATCGGGCTTTCAGACAATCCACGGCTCAAAGAGGAAGTTTCGAAAGTAACTGTGTGTGTGTGTGTGTGTGTGTGTGTGTGTGTGTGTGTGTGTGTGTGTGTGTGCATCTTAAGCCAGGCATAGCGGCATGCACCAGTAGTCCCAGTAATTTGAGTCCAGACATAGCGGCATGCACCAGTAGTCCCAGTAATTTGAGTCCAGAAAGTAAGAGACTAGCCTGGGCAGCACTATCCCAGGAATTAGAGACTAACCTATCACAAGACTAACAAGTCAGAAGAAGGAAGGAAGGAAAAAAGGAAGGAAGGAAGGAAGGAAGCAAGGAAAGAAAGAAGGAAGGAGAGAAGGAGGAAGGAAAAAGAAATAAAAAAGGAAGAAAGGGAAAAAAGGAGAAAAAAATCCAGATAATTAAAAGGATTTGAAGAGAGGCATGTATGTTCAGTCTAACATCTTGTTCTGATCTCTTTCAGCTCGATGAAAAGGGAAGGTAAATGACTCAGAAGATGCCAAAGAAAGATACTTGCTAAGAATCTTTATATAGAGACGCTCTAGGAAATGGTTCTCTTCAGGAATCTCTGACCCCGATGTCCACCATTGGGCCCCGTGAAACATCGTCTGTGCTGCTGGCTTTCCCCAGCTGTGGGTCACGGGGCAGAGCACACAGATATTTTTATATCATTTGAATGGATTAGCGGCTCAAAATCAAATCCTGGCAGGATATCAAAGATTCACATCAGAGACACAAGGGCAAAAGTTCCCTTCCATGAAATATAGAGCTTTAAGTGTTTGGCTTTTTTTTTTTTTTAAAATGTTAAAAATATTCATCATATTCTTTTAACCCAAGAATCCAAAATAAAATCCACATGGTGCCAAAGTACAAAAGCCTCCAAAGAACAGAGAACAACTTTGGAAGCAATAAAATCTATTTTTTTAAAAAATTGCCTCTTTTTAAAAGCGGTGGATGTCCTTGCGTTCCCTGTCACATGCTGGGAGCTGAGCACACACACACTCGGTGTTTTCTATTTAAGGTTCTGAGTGCCAGTTCAGGCAAAGTCCTTCTCTATCTGCTTTGTGCTCTGCTCTGACTGGAATTTGCCTGCTTAGGGGCTCTGCCGCAAACCCCACACCAGAGGCTGCATCTTGGTGGCATTGTGATCCCGGAATGTTATCTTTCATTTATTTGCTTTGCCCCCTTCCCTACTGGGAAAATATTTGCTTCTTCCCACATGTTTTTTTTCTTTTTCTTTTTCTTTCTTCTTTTTTTTTTTTTAACTTTCTTTTCCCCAGTTGTTCGAATCTTTTACATTCTCTGTTTCAACTCAAGTGTGAATGATTAACAACAGCTTGAACTTTGAGCCTTTAAAGCATGCCTGTGTTTGGGCTGAGCGCAGTGGTGCACCGTTGTAACCCTAAAATTCAGGAAGATGAGGCAAGAGGATTTTGAGTTCGAGGCCAGCTTAGGCTACATAATGAGACCCTTTCTCACAAAACCCAAGTCTGGGAGCTGAAACGATGACGCAGCAGTTCATGGCACTTGCTGCTCTTGCAGAGGACCTGAGTTAGGTTCGAAGCACTCATCAGGCAATTCACAATCGCCTGTGAACTCCAGTTCCAAGGAATCAGACACCCTTTCTGACCTCCAAGGACTCCCGCGTGTGCGCGCTCACACGTGTATGTACACGTACACGTAACATAAAATATTTTTCAAAATCCGCAAAGACGCAGATAAGCACAGCTGCTGTGAGATCATAATGACAATAGCTATACAGCCATGTCATGTCCGGAAGACAGACTTCCACAGCCCTCCTCCCCATCCACCTGCTCTGGCGTGCATTCTTTCCATTCCCCTTTCCCACGTTCTCTGAGCCTATGGCGAGGAGGCTTACACACGCCCCTTCAGGGCTGTAGAGCTCCAGTTTCTTCCAGAACAATCCCCTTGTCTCTCAGCTGGCCAGTAAACGCTGGGAAGACATCCCATTTCTCATCCTAAATTGCCTACCTCCCACAGCACCCACTACGGTGTCTAGCACACCCTGAGTTCGCAGGTTATAAATATTGCCACTATGGATCCTTTCCCTCTGACACGTCGAAAATGTGTCACCCCTGTCCTCATTTTTATTTGCTTGTTATAGAGAGAACGCTTGCTGTGCTTAAAAGCACTTAAAAAAAAAAAAAAAAAAAAAAAAAGGAAGTTCCTGCGATCTGGTCTTTTTATCTCTCTCTATACAAACGTGAAGGAGAAGAGGGCAGAGAAACCAAGTTCTTCTGTGGTTTTTCAGACATGCTTTTGATAATCCAATAAGAGCCCGCATCCTCTGCTCTCAAGCTATAAAATGTTGGAGGAATCTCTTGGTTTCAGATTACATCTTTTATTTACGAAAGGAGGAGAAACACAGTATGGACACCCCTGGAGGGTGATGGGGACCATTTTGCTCTCATAAAAATAAAGGGGTGAACATCTGTAAAGATCAACCATGTGATGCATGTGCAGTGGGGGAAGAATGTGGAAAGACTCACGTTGTCTTTAATCAAGGGGTTGGTTCTAAGCTTACATTGTTTCCTGGCATGGCTATTAACATATTCAAGGTCTTAGAGAAAGAAAACAATAGCACATATTTCTCACATACCCATACTCTGTTACAGGATTTCTGTTATCCCCAAGCTTCTTATTTCTCCACACTTCTCTGTATTTCTTTCCCTTCCATTTGCCTCTCAAAATAACTGCAGGGACATATAGAAGAAAAACAGAAGAAAAAAAATCTTAGGCTAATAGTATCACTTCTATAATGGCTAAAGCCATCCCAAGCCAGCTCATAGGCGTCTCCAGTAGCCCCGAGACGCCAAACATCCAAAGGACTGAAAAGCATGGGATGACAGATGCGACAGTTCCTCCAGGGTATCGGTTCTGAAGCCAGCACGGTGCTCTTGGTTCATTTCTCCAACATCCATCCTGTGAGTAGGCATTTTTACAGATAAAGAAATCAGGTAAGTCATAAAATGGTCACCGCAGTCTACAGAGCCGCAAGCAAGGTCTGATCCCTGCCCAGCTCCTGGAGCCGTGGTGTGGGCAGCCCCTGAGCTCTGAACTGTGTAGCAGGCTTTTGGAGGCCAGTTTCATGGTCTCGCTGCCACAGGTTCTTCACCTGTGAGTTCAGGGTAATAACAAACAGGTATCCAGACAACCCAACAAGTTAATATGCATCAGCTATGCAGAACCTGAGTCTGTATCCCACAGGCCAAATCACCCCTGCCCTGCTCTGTTCTGGGAAATAGTTCTGTTGGAATAGTGCCTGGCTTGTTTGTTCTCTGGGCTGTGGCTGTTTTCTCACTACAGGAGCAAAACTGAGTACTTGTGACAGAGACCATATGGCCCACCACAGTGAATACATTTACTCTCTGGTCTTTGGCAGAAAACATCTGCCAACACCTAATTTAGGTGAACACTTGGAAAGACCTAATCTAAACCTACTGACTAAAGCAGGGATTCTCAACCTTTGGGTCACGACCCCATTGGGGTCAAATAATCCTTTCACGGGGGTTAATTTAAATATCAGATATCCTGTATATCGGATATTTACATGACAGTAGCAAAATTACAGTTAGGAAGTAGCAACAAAATTAATTTTAGGGCTGGAGAGATGGCTCAGAGGTTAAGAGCACTGACTGCTCTTCCAGAGGTTCTGAGTTCAATTCCCAGCAACCACATGGTGGCTCACAACCATCTGTAATGAGGTCTGGTGCCTTCTTCTGGCCTGCAGTCATACACGCTGTATACATAATAAATAAATAAATCTTAAAAAAATAATTTTATAGTTTTGGGTAACCACAACAAGAAGCACTATATTAAAAGGTGGCACATTAGGAAGGTTGAGAACTACTGGACGACACAGTAAGTGCTGACTATTGTTACCACTAATCTTAAGGTTCACTTTGACATCTTGAAGAACAGACATTCCCATTTATTAATACAGTTCATACTTAATAGTCTATCCTTCGGCCATAATTCTGAAGCCTCTGACTTGAACACAAAACAAACACACAGTTGGTCATTGGACATCTGTGTCATGAGGTCATCAGCCTAACAGGAAAGTGTTCCTTCTTTGAAAGAAAAGTATATGGCCACCGTGATGAGCCATGTAGAGCTGACTTATCAGAAACTTTTGGTACTTGGCGTGGCTGAACGAGGCTTTTCCAAGCCAGACAACAACAGTGTTTCCGAGCAAAGTAGGAGTCAAGGGACCCATTGTCCCTCTAGCCTAGGTCACGGTGAGCATGTTCTCCAGGCATAGGAAAGGCCTTGTTATTTCTAGATGTCAAACCTAAAAATGAAGAAAAATAACATCATATTTTTAAAATGAGACATCATACGCTAATCTGGGTTTGCAAATGAAAATGAAAGTAATAATCCTTTCACTGACCCAGGAAGATAAATTAACGGCGACCCAAACCATTGGAGTAAAATGGATTTGTTCCGTGCACAGCATGGGGAGTGACCTTTGAAAACAAATCAGATCATGTTCTCTGATAAAACTGCACAAACCCCAAGTTCCATGGTCCTGCTCTGTCTACACCACTGACCTCAAATCTTCCAATTCTCTCGCTCCCTCAGTGGCCAACCACAGAAGACATCGTTTGCTTCCAGAGTACCCTAAGTGTGGGCCTGTCCTAGAGAATCTGCACTCTTCCTGGAATGGTATGTTCTCACATCTTCACAGGGCTGCTTCCTGCTCTGCGCTGGATCTCAAACCACAAGGCATGTCCCCAACCCGGCTTTTCTCAAGGTCACACCTACTATAGTCCCGATCACATCATCCCATTTTATCTTGTTTACAGCCTCAGAACAAATGAAAAAAATCTTGTTTATTATTTTGCTTGCTTTGTAATTGTCTATTTCTTCATTACTAGTATATAAGTTCTGCGAAGGGCTGGAATTTCTAGCCAGACATAATAGGTACTTAATAAACAGTTGTTCAATAAATGAGTGAGCCAGCAAGATTTTACCCTACAACTAAAAGAAACTGTTGCTTGAAAGTCTGAAGAAGGAAATAGTAAATCTTTGGGGAAAACCAATTTAGGTCAAGGAGGAGTGTAGCGTGAGGCTGGGGTTCAGTAAGGTGGCAGGTAGGGACAGATGTGCTAAGGATGAGCTTTCTATATCCATTTTCATAAATAGATCTAAGCCTGTGCCATTTAGACAGCCTGCTTGGAAAGCCTGTAAAGGTGCATGTTAATTAGGAATACCATTCTTCCTCACTGGTTTTCACAAACAGCCCTAAGGACAGCAACCAGGGGCCCTCCCCAAACACCGAAGCTACCTAAAGCCTCGGGACAATTACTCTCCTCAGTATCTCAAAGGTCACAGTCAAAAGAGAACATTTCAAGCCAGAAGTGGCGGCACATACCAGCAATTCCAATGCTCTGGAGGCCTTCGGATCAATTGATAGTTCAAGGCCAGCGGGGCTATATAGTGTGGCCCTGTCTCAACAACCCAAACACACGCTCAAGGAGTCAACGTCCTCTTTCAGAAAACAATACTCTGAACTTTTGATTCGCTCTTTGAAACATATGGAAAGTTAGTAACACACAAAAGCCCAATAAGGAAACTAGCCCTACCGCTGAGAGCAGCTTTCCAATAGTCTCACAAACATCAAAGCACAGTTACCAGCTGCCCTCGGGATAACCTAGACCGGAAGTTCTGTGGGCTGAAGATGCGACTCTGTGAGAAAGTGCTTGCCTAGCATGGGTGAGGGCCTGTGTTTTATTCCTTGCACTGGAATTCATAAAAAAAAAGTTAAATTAAAATTTCCTTTTTCACTGGGAATCAAATAAATATCCCACAACAGAATCACAAATCTAAACAGCCCTTGAGTTAGCTACACAGGTAAGTAAGAGCAGCAGTGACGGAAGACGTAGGAGTCTTCAAGATTCTTCCCTAGGATATAACGTATCTATTTACTGGGTAATCACATATATCTATTGTACTTGAAATATGGTTGTATTTAGACAAAATAGACATACTTCATGCATGTGAAAGGTACTAGACTACTTTAAACAGAGGAGCATTTATCGAGTTGTGAGGCAAACTGCGTGTGATACACAATGTGGTTCCATGAAAGCCTTGTTCGCTAACCGTTTGTTGGGCTCTGCCAGGTGCAGCCTTACAAATGACCTGGCCGGACAAGTGAGACAATCACTGGAAATTGCAAGTTCAGAAACTCACCGAAGGCTCCTGTCCAGTTAGCCGGCCAGCGGGGGAGACTTGGCGAGGCGCAGAAGCACTCACCCGCTTCACTAAGGCCTCTTCCAGTTGAGAAATGTCATTTAAACTTGAATGTGACTCAGGAGGGTGTTATGGTCCATTTGGCCCTTTCCCTAGAGGAAAGTGGCCTGCTTTGGATGCACTCCCGGGCATGGGAAGTGTTCATTTTGACCATACACAGCAAAGATGTTCAGCCTTAGTGATGTTACTTTTCCAGTGAGTCTCAGGGGGAATGGAGCATTGTCACTGAAGAACGCGTTCTTCACCAACATGAAAGACATCTTTATGAATTTGCGAATGAATTAAAAATGAAGTTAAAACAGTCAAAACACGAGTCAAAGTTATTTTATAATTAAAGCCTCCACCAATCTCATCCTCAGATCATTTTCCTTTTTTTCTTCCTAGTGGTAACCTGTGCTCAAATACCATTCTCATGGATATGTTGGTAATCTTACTATATGGCTATCTATCTATACAAGTATTTTGTTTCAAGTATTTGATTTTTTTCAAATCCTATGCACACCCTTTTGTGACCCACCTGTTCTACTCTATTCTAAGGATACGTCCACATTAATACATACAGTTTTTAACGGCAGTGTAGTATTTCATTACTCATCTATACTAATAAAACCAAGGGAAGCCCAGAAAGACTATTGACCTTCACTGACCTCATCCACAGAGCTACTCTACCTGTGGAAGGGGAGCCTAATTTTGATGGACAACTGACTCTCTCTGCCACTCCCCTGGACTGGCATTGCCAGTCTCAAAGAAGAGCCATTTGCCACTGAAGAGCCTTTGTTCTCAGGGCCCTGTGCTGTGGATGATGATACAGTTGGGAGCGGCTCGGTAGCAGCAGAAATACTAGACTCACGCCTAGCTTCTGCTTGTCGTCATATCTGTGCTCAACGAAAGAATCATTGTGGGCTGCTCATGGCTGGTGGATGGGGCTGAGCCGGGGCCAACACAGAGACTTCACCATCATTCACCATTCACCATCACTTCCCAGACTCTGAGAGAGACCTCGATGGCTGCAACTAGACACCAAATAACCTTGCTAGTGCCAACTTCAAAGACATGGATTAGAAGAACAGGCTTGTTCAGCCATATGTCATGCCAACAGAAATGCCAGGGGCAGACTTTATAAAGCCACGGTCTTCCAGGTGTAAACAGGCCTCTACTCTAACCTTCTAGAAACTAGACTCACTTCAGACACTCTGATCACCTGGTTGCTTAGCCCTGACTGAAAATGAGAAAGAATGTAAAACAAACCATGTACAAACTGATTTCAAATAAGCATCAGTAAGTATCAGGGGAGGAAAAGGGCTGGGGAAAGAGTTTTAGATCTGCCTTTTAAAAAGAGGCTTTAAGAGCCCCGGCGGCAGTGGAGCACACCTTTAATCCCAGCACTTGGGAGGCAGAAGCAGGCTGATCTCTGTGAGTTCAAGGCCAGCCTGGTCTACAGAGCGAGTTCCGGGACAGCCAGGGCTACACAGGGAAACCCTGACTCAAAAACCAAAACAAAAATAAACAGGCTTTAAAATAAGGGGGAAGTACCAACACAGCTAAAATACTTCACTTTCAGCAAAGTATCTATCAGTCGCCTCAGTGGAACTTTCTGTAGAAAGTTAATGATGTTTGGATAATATCATGGGTTACCATGATATTTTTATATCTCTATAATTACTTGATAATTTATAATTATATGAGATCAATGAAAGGCATAGTAAGGACAGTTGAGATATTATCAGCTTTCCTATTATGGTTATACACTATACATCCATCAAAAAGAATATCCATATGTGTTATATAATATGTCTAAGATATTTGTTAAATGTAAAATTGAATATGTATATGTAAAGCAGACATTTGTATGAGAGTATATATACACACACATGCATAGCACATATAGGGAAGGGTGTCTCTAGAATTATAAACAAGAAATATTAATAATATTAACAACAGCTGCTTCAGCAGAGGAAGTCTGAAGGTTAGAGGGATGCAAACTATTCATTATTCTGCAACTTAGAGTGTTTGGATTTGCTGCATGACGGTGTGTGTGCGCATGCGTGTGTGCGTGCGTGTGTGCGTGCGTGTGTGTGTGTGTTTGTGTTTAAGTGTGAGAAAGAGTATGGTACCGTAGGCGATTTCACCATCACAAAGTGTGCAGTCTCAAACCCAAGACTGAACTTCAGTAAGAATGGACTTAGTAATTATCCTTTAAAATGACAGGAGGGCTGGGGAGATGGCTCAGCAGTGAAGAGAACCAGCTGCTCTACCAGAGGACCCACGGTTGATTCTTACCACCTACGTGATTGCTCACAACTGTCTGTAATTCCAGTTTCAAGGGATCTGACGCCCTCTTCTGGCCTCTGTGGGTACCAGGCACACATGTGGCACACAGACATACATGCAGGCAAAACACCCATACACATAAAATAAGAAAATAAATAAAAAATTTAAAAAGGAGAGGAAAGCCAGATTTCACAAGACATAGCCTCTCTCTCTTTGGAGTATTAATAGGTCCACCACACGAAGGGCTATGATCAGGAAAGATCAGCGATGCTTCTGTAAGCGGCTTTTCGGTGCAGGGCCATGCCCCTATAGCATCAGGACAAACAGATTTGACCTTATTCAAGGGGTTATTGACAAAGAAGAGCGGGAGGAACAGCAGATGGAGCGAAACAGCCTCAGACATGTGATCACAGAATGACCAGATCTAAGGGAGCATGCGTAAAACCGCTAAACACAACTTTACAGATACGATCGGCTCATGTTCCTCTCTTGGGAAGAATTGATTATTCGCATTTTTATTATATTTTACTTAATTTAATTATTTTGTTTGCTTTTTGAGACAGGGACTCACTGTGTAGCTCTGGCTATCCTAGAACTCAATATGTAGATCACAATGGCCTCAAAGTCACAGAAATTCACCTGTCTCTACCTCCTTAGTGCTAGAATTAAAGGCACGACACTTGGCTTAATTATTTTTAAAATGTTTATTTCAATGTGTTCTATTTAGGACAGGATTCTTTGGACTACCTAGGGTCATGTTGCCAGCTCACACATTTTGCATTAAAATATTTCTGATCTGTCTCACTTAAACTCAGTAAATACATAAGGGAAATCTCTCTCTCTCTCTCTCTCTCTCTCTCTCTCTCTCTCTCTCTCTCTCTCTCTC